ACGATTTTTGTTTTGCCACGATTTTTCGACCAAAAAAAATTTTTGTTGGATTTCCAAATTTTTCGTTGGAAAAAAGTTATTTTTTTGTAGTGTTTCCAACGAATTTAGCCACGAATTTTCCAACGAATTTTCTAACGAAAATTGAAATTTTTCGTTGGAAAAATTTGCGACGAAGAATTACCAACGAATTTTTTTTTGTTGGAAAATTCGTTGGAAATTCGTTTTCCAACGAATTTTTCCCAATTTTTCGTTGGAAATTTCGTTGGAAAAAAGATGTTTTTTTGTAGTGGTTTGACCACTAAAAACCCCAAACTGGTACACTTGTGATAATTTTACCCCGAACTAATTTTTTGACCATAAAAAATCTCAAACTGGTATACTTGTGATAAATTTACACTTCGTTAAATTTGATTAATATCACAGAAAACCAAAAATTCATAAACTTGTGATAAACAGAGGGTAAAAACTCCAAACTGATACACCCATCAACTACCACGTGTCATCAAACTCAGCAATTTAACTGTAAAATTTAACGGAAACTAATAGAGGGATTTGTCATGGGTGTACCGGTTTGGGGTTTTTGGTGATCAAAAAATTAGTTCGGAATAAAATTGTTATAGGTGTACCAGTTTGAAATTTTTTGTGATCAAAAAATTAATTTGAAGTAAATTTATCACATATATATCATTTTGAGATTTTTTATGGTACTAACCCTAAAGTTTATATAACACGTTTATGTCAAACTATTTTTCAAATCACAGAAATCGTAAAGTGGTACCACCCTCTCAATCCGTGTGTAGTCGACGTGACAGCTCCTAGCTAGCGGACCCGTTAAGATCCTACTCAAAACACTTGATTTTGCTGAGTTTTAGTTGATTCGGTGTAATGACATTTTAACTCTTGAATAAGTGAGCTAAAAACAGCATCGTTTTGGCCCAAAATGGTCATATTTGGGAAGGCTTCATGTGGTAAGAGTCCATTGTGTAATCGGCCACGTTCTTGCCACGTCGAACTACTATGGGGGACAGTTTACGGCAAAATTGGACATAATGCTAATGAAGGATAAATTTAGGATAGCGGTACCACTTTGGAGTTTATGGGGGTCGAAAAACAGTGTTGGATAGATATGTCCAAGTGATATCAACTTAGGATTTTATGTGCTATAAGCCCTTATTTAATCGCTTCTAAAGAATGATTGACACGTTTAGAACCAAATATTCTGGGAAACATAAAATTTTAGTATCTCAAAATTAGTAAGTGACTTTGCCCTGACCACACATGAGGGAGAGTAGCATTATATATATAAAAACGGGCTAAAGTTGAATATAAAAATTTGATGTTGTAAATCTATTATTCCTATTTTATTATATAATAAAACATGAAATAACTCTATATGAGGTAATGAAAAGAAACTAATACCAAGCGCTTATCGATTCCAAGATTAGCAAGGGGATCAATAGAGCGATTTCTTCCCCGAAAGTTATGTTGCACTTTAAACTCAAAATGAGAGTGCAATAATCTTTAGTTATCTTTAAGCAAAGCAGGGTCATCATTATCAATCACGAGCTCTGGCTTAACAAGATCAATGATTGATATAGAGTCAATATCAATGATGATCTAATGAAAACCAAGTTGTTTTGCGAAATTAATTCCCAACCACAAAGTCCAAAGTTTTGCTTGTGTCGACGAACATATTCCTACGAATGCGACAAAACCACCAAGCCAGTCACCCCTTCATTTCTAAATGAACCTCCTACACCAGCAAGTCCTGGGTTGCCTTTAGAGGCCCCATCAATATTCAGTTTAATCCATCCGGAAGGTCGAGAATCCCATCTGAACAAAATTGGAGAAGTGCATGACACACTTAACGTCTAGTTATTCACAGACGAACCTTTCATGATTTCCTTTGTGTATGACCAAATTGCTTGTATCGGATTTGAAGGGAAAACAAAGTTGTCTTGAAAAGTAATTTGTTTCTCCATTGCCAACAAAGTCATGCACCTACTCCAAAAATTATGCTCCAATCATGATGAAAATTCAATCGCCCTTTACTAGCGAGATTTGAATTCGACCATTGCGACAAATTCATTGAAAAGAATTCTCCTAAATATTGTTGTGGGACAAACTCAAGCCATATCCAACGGACAATTGGATAATCCCTTAGAACATGTAAAGTTATTTCGGCACGAGACTCATATCTCAAGCAATATGGATTTCCTCCCAAGTAGCGAGACTGTCTTCAATTCATTTGTCATCAATCACTTATGACCGGCTAGTCAGAGGAAAGGTCTGTCATGTTGAGGTCCCTGCTACTTTCAAATTGTGGACCATATACTATCGGACTCGTAATTGTGTGCCCTATTAAATACCTCACACACTGCCTTAATAGAGAAAGACCCGCTTCCAGTATCCTCCCACACAAGAATATCGGGAGAATGATATTAGAAGTGTCAAAAATTGTGTACGGCCCTCACTTTAGTGCCAAAAGTTTTTTTCGTATTACTTAAGTGCCAATTTTTTTGAAAAATGATTATTTAAGTGCTAACTCTGATCAGGATTGCCGGAAATCCGACGTAGCCATTTTTTTATTAATTTCTCAATCCGATGTGACTCGCCAGCATATAATTCCTAAATAATGTCGTTTTTCTCCTAAACATAATCCCTAAATCAATTTTTTTTGTATGGAACCCTAAATCGATTTTTTTTTGGTTGAAAGAGCCCTAAAATTTTCACGTTCTTGAATGTGCTCTCTTCTCATGGATCAATCTGAAGGACTGGTGGTGGCCGGCAACGAAGGCTTGACGCTAACAGATTTTGCTTCACTTTGCCCTCTTCATAGTGCGCTTCCATTTCCACCATGAGACCACCAAGAAGAAAAAGAGATTTTCAAGATCCCCAAAAAGGCTAATTCCCTTGCGGCAGCCAAGTCCGCAAAATCGCATAAATCGGCCTCTAAAAACCCTAATCCGATGAGTAATTGCTCCTCTCAGGAACAAAATTCGAGATCAGAAGTTCGTTTTGGCGAAGAGGGACGCAAGGAAAGAGGAATCCAAATATAAACGAGTGGCGTTTGAAGACTGTGATGGGCGAGGCCAAATCTGGACAAGTGGCTTGCGAGCGACGCATGCATGTCCATGACCGTCGTCGGTGTCGTGCAGCCATATCTGGTCGGCTCAATTAGTGCCGGCGACTCGGCTGGTGGCAACGATGAGGGAGGGGCGAAAGTCGAACTAGGAGGAAGGGGCTGACTAGATGGGTTTTCGAGCAAGAGGGACTGGAGGCGTAGGAGCAGGCGACGCCATTGTTGCAGAGAGGGAGCTTAGAGAGAGAGAGTAACGAAGGAGAGAGATGAAGAGAAAAAAAATGGCGATATTTTCTTTTCTTCTTCGTGGGATAGCAGCCAAAAAGCCAACGTGGACTGGTTTTTTAATAAAAATTGCCAACTCATATTAATTTTTTAATATAAATATCACATAATATTTTTGGCCGGGCCGGAAGTACTTAAATGATCGTTTTTTCTTCGATTTGGTACTTAAGTGAGCCGGAGTAAACTTTTTGTCACTAAAACGAGTGCCGTACAAAACTTTTGGCACTTCTAGTATCTTTCTCCCTAAGAATATCATCACAATCAGAGGCTAAAGGAGTTTTGGTAGTTCTAATGCGTAAAATTATATCTTATGGTATAATTCTCCGAAATATCCGAAAATTCCAATTTCTATTCAGCACATAATTGCAAATTTTTCTGTCCATCTCCAAAGGAGATAGTTGGGTAATAACAATATTATACATTGGCTTCACTACTCCCACTTTCAACAAATTTTGGAAATGATTTAATTTTCTCCAACACACCCAAATTCCTATACAAAAGCCATACGATCTCCTATGAACACTATTTATTGGACGAGAAACGCGTGCAGCACAGCACCCCCATATCCATCATCATACGCTATCATCGATCTCCTTCAACTTATTGGGCTCGCTGCTCTCCACCTTGGACGCGGGAGTCTCCTCCCCATGGCCCAAATCATGCTGCTGGATCACGAGAACCGAGCACGGGATGCCGCGGCTCGACAACGCCAGCACGTCCCCAACGGGCCCTAGCTCGGGGTGCTCCGCCGGGCGGTCTGCCAGGTCCGCCACCATAGCCGAAGGGAACCGCCCCTTGCCCACGACTACAAGGTCGTAATCCTTGCTCTGGCCGATCAACAGGACTTCCTCAACCACGTTGCCTGCGACTTTCTCCGTGTAACTCGCCATGCCAGTCCCACCGCTCTCGGAATTCCGCGACTGCGGCCTCGTCCAGTTCCTGGACCATTAGCACGAAGAAACGGTCAATACTAGGAAAATTAAGTATGCTAAATCATGTGCTCGTGCATTTGGATTATTAGAAAAATTGCAAGAAAAAAAGAGGGCACCTTTTCCTTTTCTCGATTGATATGCGCGATCGAGAAGCTATAGCTCTTCTCTCTGCATTTGCTTAAGGATGGCCTCAATGGAATTTCGCTCCCTTCGGCCTCCGGTTTCTCCACGAACCTCACCACGGCCACCTTGACCGCGGGGTGCTGCGCCATCTGCCCGCCCAACTCCAACGCCTCTCGATCATCCGGCCCACTGAAAAGCAGGATGCAAACCTGTTGGACCGCCAACATGTCGGGCCCAGGGGTCTCGGACCCGCCCCAGAACCCGTCGTCCACGAGCACGGCAACCGAGCATGGCCTTTTAACTGTGTGGATGATGATGGTTTAGTATCTTTTTCAGATTCTTTCATATATGAAAGCCACAAGTCTGCAGGCTGTTTTTTGTTGGAGTAAAATCTATGGTCTTTGTGGTTGTTAAATTGGGGCAATTGTCTGGGTGTCTTTCTGGAAGATTTGACTGGTTCTTTTGATTCTGTTGATCTGAATTGCTTTTTGGTTCGATATCACTCTCCTATCTCAGCATTTAATGCTGTGATCCGGATGATTCTTTACTGCTGGACTTGGGTCTCTTTGAGGATTAGAAGTCAATGCTGTTACTCAGTTAAAGCCTTTTTCTGCTCCTACTATTGACTCATAAAGTGCATGCTTTTAGTTTGATTCTCTGGTCTTGATTATGATCAGCATTCTTATGATAAGGATATTTGAGCATTTTTGTTTGGTTTTTCCTTGATGGGTTGAATGAATCTCCTTCTTTTGGTTAGTTATATTGAGATAAATCATTTTACAGGTGAAGGAAGGAGGCGATGATCACAAGGTGAATGAAACTGTCAGTGTTGTGACCAACAAAACTACAGAGATTGGACAGAGGACGTGGGGCATTATGAAAGGAGTAATGGCGATAGCTTCCCAGAAGGTTGAGGAGTATACTAAAGATGGCGTGACCTGGAACAATGAAAACTGGCAACGAAACGACAGTGAGAGAAATGGATATTATCAGGAGTTTAATCAAGAGAGTAAAGGATGGAATGCTTCTTCTGGAGGGCAGTCTTCTTCAAGTGGAAATGCCAAAACCTTTAGCTCGAGCTCTTGGGACGATTGGGACCACAAAGAGAATAAGAAGGAAGAAACAACAAAGGGAGGCACATCTGGTAACAATGACAGTTGGGCTGGATGGGATGATGCGAAGGACGATGGATTTGATAACTGGTATCAGAGTGCCCCAAATAAGGGAACTGCTGGTCACAATGGGAAATCAGATGCCACATGGACAGAAGGAGGCTTCCTTTAAGGTATATGACATCTTCTCTATCGTGCTTTGAAATGCGAGTTTATGTGGTATCAATTATTGTGAAAGTTGATGTGCATCTTAATGCTAAGGATTCAACGCCCTGTTCTTTTTTATTTATATATTTTTTTTAAAGAGAAACAGGTTTTCACATCTTGAAGAAGCTTCTTATATATATTTTTTCCCCCACTGGTCATACGCAGTACTTAACTTCACATAAACTGATGGAGGTGTCAGTAGTGTTGAGCTCTCAGCATCGACCTCTCTGCTCTGTCTGACTTGTTTTAATCATGAACTATATAACAAGAACAGCTTTCGATCAGATAATATTTTATGTGGCAAGGTAGAGCATATTATATTTTCTCCTGACTCCATTTTATTTGTGACTTTTTGACAAGATTGTAGCTACTCATCCGATGGCGAGTAAGACGGAGATTTATTCAATAGAAGGTATCAAACAGCTGCCGATAATGGTTACTAAACTTTTTTTTAGGTTTTGCGTCAATGTTTTCCTGTGAAATTTATGGACAGCTTTGGCATGTTCCGAAGTAGTTTATGTATGTATAACTTTCATCAAAGGTTGAGAGAAGACTGATTTTTGTGAGTACAATATCATTATTTGTAACTGGAATTTTTTTAAAGCAATTCAACGGTCATGTTGACTTTAGTCGGATATAGTGCTTTTTGTGATTATGTGTTCCATGTTATTTGGTTTTTGATTCATATTTATAAATTTGTTGCCAGTCCAATACTGTTAAAGATCAAGCTATTCTGGGGAGGGTTAACATACCTAAAGTTCATCAGGTCAAATCCTCCATTTCGAGGATTATGCAAAGTGGGTGAACATGCATCATCACATTTACAAAGATTCATTGTCCTAGAAAATGGACTATTGATGTTCTGGCATTGGTCTTAGAGGTGGTCTATCAAAGATGTGAATTTAACTTAAGTTGCGTGGTTATATGAGTTGAAACTTTGAAGGAAAAGGGAACGGTAAAGTCTATTCCCTTACTTTTTTTTTGTTGGCCCTTTATCTTTAGCATTCGTTGTTAACATTGGACCGCGGTTTTTTGTTTGGATTGATATTGCTCGGACATCTTGATTTTATCTTCCTTCTTTTAGAGCACAAAGGTTCTTATACAATCTACATACTAGGCAGATGATCCATTGTTGAAAATTGATAACTAGGCATGTTTACTATGTGACATTACATCACACACACTGCTTATTTGACCGATATTGTCGCACTACAAGTCAGTGACCAACCTCTTTACAGTGACTACCCAGAAAAGGCTACATAGGTCTTCTCTCGCCCTGCCGGGATGCTCAAGCGCATGATTCTGCGTTTGCGCCGTTGATGATCTTGCAATTTTTCTCAGGAACCTCGTTGCTTTGGACCACACCCTGCTGCACCACAAGTACTGAGGATACGAGACCTTCGTCCGATCGAGCCAAAATGCTTCCTATGAGCCCCAGTTCGTCATGCTCGATCTCATGGTTAGCCAGCTTTGCCTCCAACCACCATGGGAACTTACCCTTTCCTACTACAACCAAATCATATTCCTGGCATCGACCTATTGCCATCAGTGTTTCCACGAGGTTGTTGTTCGCAGCCTTCACCGAGTAGTTTGTTGAGCCATGATTAGTCCGGAATTCCTCCACTGCCGCCTCATCCATTTCCTGTTCGAGATCATTTACTTCTGATGTTTACTCCTTATTTCATCAACTGGCAATTTTGAAATTGTTCTTAAGAAAGCCTCAAGAAAGCTTACCTTTTCTTTCTCTTCATCACCTGGCTCCGTGGGGATGCACCGTCTCTCCTCGAACAGATTTAGTGAGGAAGAGCCTGTGACGTTCATAAAATCCTTCCCGGGTTCATCAAAGAACCTTATAATGCTAACCTTGACCATCGGATTGTTTGCCATCCTTCGCACCAGCGCCAAAGCCTCGTGATCGTCTGGTCCGCCAAAGAATACGACACAAATCTGTCTTTCCACAATGGCTTCCTGCTCTTCGCATTGCCTGAACTCGTCGCCAAGCCCGCGGTCTAGGAGTATGGCCACAGTGCACAGCGCACTTTCGAGCACTTTCCTGTTGACCTCTCTCCATTCGTAGCTCACGCTCTCTATTTCCTCCTCGTTCTCTCCTCTCCATTGCTTGTGAAATGGCAAGACGATCATTTCCGCCCTCTTCTCTTGCGCCACGTGGTTAATGTCCTCGTGCATGGTGGACAAGACTGAGATGGCCGTCGAGTGGTGGATAGTCAGGTGACTTGCTTGGCTGTACGCACGAAGAGCCACCGCCACTTGGTCATGCATGGTGCCATGACAAAAGCAGTTGATGAGGGGAAGACCGTTCTTCCGAGCTCGCCTGACCATGATGATGGATGACGGACGGTTGGTGAGCTCGACGAGCCGGACTACGTGGAGCCGGAGAGGGGGACTCAGACTGGTCCTTTTGAACTCCATGAGTTTCATTAGCGACGGTATGTTTCCCGGTCCATGTACGCAGGCGAGCACCCGGAGCTCGTCTTCCGAAAGGTGCTGTTGTCTTCTCAATCTGCGAACGACCAGAGGAGGGATGATTTGCCTCGGTTTATAGATGGCCATGACTATAGGAGTCGTCATGAAGGTGGTGAATATCGCCATGAGGACTAAAATCGCGAACACCTCGTCGTTCAGGACCTGTTGTTGACAAGGAAAGAAAACAAAACAATCTCTTCATACACTTAAAAAACATTAACTTGTTAGTTTGACTCAATAAACCAATTAGTGTACTGACGTTGTTTTTTTTGGGGATAATTACTTAGTTCAACACTACAAGGGTATTTTAGTCGTAAATTAACTTTATCCTCATCATTCTGACAGAAAGAAAAAAACTTAATCGTCATCAATACTTACATACTTAACTTTCGTTTCTAATCGAGCACACCTGTACTATTATTTTCTAAATGATTTGCATTCCCGTCAACCCCGATGAATCTGCTCATTTCAGGGGTTCAAACCTTTATAAATCATTGTTTTTATTAGTAAAAGGGGTGAGAAAGGATGACCATCGCACATTTCGAGACCATTTGATTTAAAAAAGAATTTCAATTTTTGTAAAAATTAAGAGTGAGTTTTCGTAAGTGGAAGAACAAAAGAAATTTGAAAATATGTTTGTATCCCATCATATCACAAAAAAGCAATTTTTTGGTACTTCGAATCTCTTTATTTTGCAATTAGCACGAGACAATGAAACACCAAAACTTATTTTCGGTCTATAACTTAATAATTTTTTTGACAATAATTATTCTTATTTGTTAGAAATATCTTTAGAGTTTCTCCAAACCAACTTTTCGAATTTTTTTTCGATCTCACGTGAAAATGAAAAAAAGAAAGAAGAGAGAATTTGGTAAAACATTCTTCACCAACTAAAGGAACCCTTTTTTGGATATAGTGCTCCTTTAAAAGGATAGAACACACCGCAATGTCCTTTTATTACAAAAGCGATCGCCACGGATTTGTTTCACTCATAAACAAAACCTAATCTCCTCAATATCCCAAAAAGAGGGAAACATCTCGAACATACCACAATACAAAGCATAACAAAAAAGCAGGAAAATTACATATCATCCGTTATTGCTTGCGCGGATCCACACAAGTTTAGAACAACTCCGAAGAAGACATATAGATCATTATATTCCGAGCTACGGCTCTAGGGTGAAAAGATGAAAACGAGGGCACATAACGAATTTATGATGTCATGATTGATCTCCCACTATCAGAAAAAGGAATCATATCACAAACCCTAATTGGCTGATTCAGTCTTATTCACTGTGTAAGTGCTGGTTTTGTGGAGATAAAAGCCAAAAAGGCACGCAGCCACCGCAGTGATGCAACCTCTCCCCATGTCTAGTGTCTTTCTAGGGCATATTGAAGCTTGGTTTTGACAGGGTCATTGGCAAATCATTTGATCTACACCACTCCAACAAAAGCTAAACCAGACCCTAAGAACAAGCATGTTGTTCAAAGAGTTCTCCTCCTCCCCGCGATTAGGACATCTAGTGACATGGTTTATAGATAAGTACGACATGCTTGCCACTGAGAAAAATACCTATTAAGTGGGGTGTTACCCATTTGGTGCCATAACCCATATAATCATGACTTTTGTGAAGCTCACAGATCAAAGTGGCCATCGTTTTTATGCACATTAAAGTTGGAAAAGACTATCAAGGTTGACAACCATGTCTGTGGAATTGATACTGCGCCGTATGTCAAGCGATAGCCAAAGGCATGGTTTGGGGCGCGACTAATTGACTAGTACTTTCTTGTGCACTGAAGGGTTAACAAGAAGGGAGTTTGGTAATCTTGTGGACCGCCATTTAAAAGATAAGTATAAATCCATTTATGTACACGAGTTTCTGAAAGCCTGAATATACTGCCAAAAAGACGAAGACAACGTGAACTTGAGAATCATCATATACATTATTTAAAAGAAAATTGAATTGCATATGATTCAGTCTTACCTTATGAGCATACGCAAGATGTGAATTTTAGTTGCATTATTTATACGCTAACTTAAGCATGAAGTTTCTCAGTTTTCTTTTCATTTTATTTGTTGGGAAGAACAACCTAGGATGCTGATTGTCTAAATAGGAATCACTGACCAGCAACTTAGGAACCCTAGCTACCATCACAAAGGATTCTTTCTATACATTAACTTGTGTAACGGTTTATTTTCACATATTCATGGGTCCGGAATTTACTCACGGTGGGCCTTTTCGCCATCGAAAGAGAAGTTCTCATACATTACGTGTTCCGATGAAGGCTTATACATCTAGCTATGTCCTTTGGAGCTAATATTTCATAAGTTGTTTGATCTTGCTAAGGGTGGAAAAAAGGAGGTTTAAAAGTCAAAGTGTAAAGTGCACCGTGGAAAGTCTTTTGACAAGTCAAGGGGAACATGGATCAAAACACTATTAAAAGGTGAGAGACTAATCATAGCTTGATTAATGTGAGCTATACTAAAACTAGGAAATTCTACGAAATCGATTTACAAGATAATGTGGTAGAGTGTAAGTGAACATTTAAACAAAGCATTTGTTAAGTCCCTCATCGATTTGTCAACTAACCTTATACACCAATCTTAGCTAGATAAAGACACAAACACTGGACTCGTGCAATAAAGATTTAGGTACATATATGTGTCAGAGAGCTTAAAAAGTAAGTTTTGCCGTTCATGGATGAATTATTTAAACTTAAATATCCATTTTTTGATCTTGTCTCAAAATCGTGGGAGAAGGAAACACTAACCTTCTTTTCTTTGCCAATGTTGAGAACAATGAGCTCCACCAACCCTCTAGTGTTCATCAACACACCAAGCGCAAGTGAGTCCCTAATGGGAATCATACACACCATTGCCACCACAAATGTCCCTAGAATTTTACCGGTACATGCCATGGATATTACCAGCACCGACAACCCCCACGCCTCTGCCCCCCGGATCTTAGCAATGTCGGTCTTCAACCCGCTTGATGCGAAGTAGAGCGGGAGGAGCAAACCCGACACGAAGTCCTCGATCCTCTTGATCAATCTAGTTGCGAACACGCCTCCTTTCGGGATCGTCATGCCAAACACGAAGGCTCCGAAGATGGAGTGGATCCCTATAAGATCCGTCATGAACCCGGATAGC